ACTTCAAGGTTATTTTGTTATTTTCTTCATTAAGTACTAAAGATAGTCCATACCATGGTGCTATGCTCTAGAAAATTACTTTTGAAGATATATTTCTAAAGCAATTCTATTGTGTAAATATACTTTAGTATACGTTTCATTGATGTAGTATACATATTTACACAACGTCAATCAAATCATATATGTCGTTGTGTAAATATAGCCTACTGCATCAATACGTTTTAGATCAGATGATTGTTCTGTTTGCCTCAATACTTTTTAAAGTTTCTTAACAACTGTTTCTTAAAATATGTACTTAACCGCAATCTACATCATTTCTGGTCCGCTTCACTGCCAGAGGGCTTTCCAAATCTTTTCCAACAGGTCATGAAACAGTTTAGTATTCTTTAAATTAATTCAAGTCTATTTCCTTCATTTAGGTATACATTTACGTAAGCTTTGTACCAGAGTACGATGCACTACAAATACTTTCGCAACATACTTTAGGGCCTGAATTTTGTGTAGGTGAATAAGTTGTTTGGAAGCAAAGTATGGCGCTTTGAAAGTTGGTGAATTTATAAACGTTTCTCGTAGAATGGCCTTCATAAAATTACTAAATTTTAGGGTTTAGAGTTGAAATATTGAACCCAAACTTCAAAAATAGTAAGATTAAAGGCTGTCTCTTATACACATCTAGATGTGTATAAGAGACAGCGCCTAAGACGGGTGGTTATATTTCCGGCCCTTTTTCTCGAAACCTGTTGATGCGAGTTTACAGCCCTTTTGTGGTCTTGGGTCACAATTATCATATCAACTCTAGCCCCACCATGGTTGGTAAACAACTTGTTTGGCGCCTATGAATGTCTGGCAACAGATGCTGGCAACCTACAGCCACTTTCCCTTCCCCTCAAGGGGCAGCCACAATATATAAAGTTAGCATGGAGAAAGTCTATGTTGGAAATATGGCACCTCTGGATGCCATGAAATAGCAGCTGGTAAAGCTGTAGAAAATAATATTGTTTTTGTATTTCTTATCATTGCCATAAGTAGATAAATTGAGTTGCTTATTCCTCCAGAAGAGCAAGAAACATGAATACATACTAATGCATAAACCAAAAATGAATATAACATACTGTAATTGTATTTCGTGGAGGGTATTCAGCTATGAAAAATATACAGAATATGCAATAATTAAAACACAGGTTACTATTTGCCACACAAATGGACCTGCAGCCTACATGTTATGAACATTAGGCCTACTACTCGTACAATTTTAATTATTCTTGCAAAGTTCGGCATGGAACATTGATAAGTTTTTGATCACGCTTTAGAAGTTATATACTATCACTAGAATTGTAAAAAAAAAAAATAATAAGTTAAGTGCTGTGTTTGCTTCTGGTAGGCCTTATACCGATTACACATTAATTTTAGTTAACCTTCAGTATATTCATGCAGACAGACCATGCACGTATACATCCATGGAGAGACCTACCCTGGTAATAAATAAATAACATTAAGGTGATCCAGTTAAGTGGATAGGGGCACAATGCCGCTGAATCATTTTTGAAATTAACTTGCCAAATTTTAAGTAACATAAAATTATTAACTTGAACATATAAACATTAGTGTATTTAAAAAAGGTTTACCCGTCATAGTTATCCAGTTTAAAAATACGGGTACACATTTTTGAAATTCAATAATTTCTTTGCTCAAGTTAAAAATATGTGTGCTTACTGCAAAAATGAACAAGTTAATTTCAAAATTATTTTTATGATCTTTGTCATTTTCAAGAGACAATACATCTTTAAACCTTGTTTATTTTGATGCCCAGAAAAAATGGGAATTAATGATGATCATAATGAGGGGATGATGATAACAATGAAGGTTATGATGAAGGTGATAATAATGATGACGATGATGATGTCGATGGCGATGACGTCGACGATGATGTTCATGTAGGTGTTGGCATGCTTGAGAGTGATGGAGAAACTAATGCAGACTAAAGTGAAGTGAGTTCAATCTGGAATCAAACCGAAAAATGCCCTGGTCACGGTGCAGCAGGAATAAAAGCCCTGGAAAAATCAGCAGTTTTGATTTGGTAGAGTCTAATTTAGGTCGCTATTTTTTAGTCTTATAATAGGCCATCGTACCATGATTGAAAAAGTCAATGCGATGCGTACATTCATATACTGTAATTCATAATTATCATTATATATTTATTTCAGAAAGTAATGGAATTGAGAAAAAGTGGTCCGGCCATAGCCGGTGCGGCTGTCCTGTGGTTATCCGTCCTTGAAAGTGTGGCAAGTAATGGGCTAATCGGATTAGGTCATTAGGTACAGACCAATCAGAAGCAAATGCTCATTTTTTGAAGTACTGTATTAGTTGCTGTATGTTGGCTTCATACACAGTTTACATACTACAGAATTTATCAGCACTATCAAATAAATGGTAAGAATGGTGTATCTAGGCTAGCCCAATTGCTGTATATATTTGGTTATCTTTTGTTTTAGCTAGGATAACCTAGGCCAGCCAGGCCCTCTGGGCCTAGCCTAGTAGTAGCTCTAGAGTACTGTAGGGTAGTGTAAGAGCATAGTTAGCAAAATTATTTACTTGTTTAGGCTAGACTGCAAGTTGGATGTGTGGGCTAAGTTTGAATTATTAGCGGTAACTTTTAATCGCCTAGGCCTAGACTTAACTTTGCAAAATGGCCACGTCCTGTGTTGAAATGCTGTAATAGGTCTATATTATATTAAATATAATGTTAAAATGTGGTTGCATGAACCAAGCACAAAAATAAAACAGCTATTTATTAATATTGTGTTTAATAATTCATCTTATAGCATAGGCCTACATACTGCCAGTGGTATAATATCCACATCACTGTCGTGTCATCAGTGATCATTTTCTATTTTTGTTTTTAAAGTTAATAATGTAAATTTTTATATTTTCTTTTAATAAAGAGAAAATTTAACTACAGTAAATATCTTATGATAATATTAACATTATTTAACGCTACGGTTAGTGTAATTAATATAGAAATATAAAAATTGATATGGGTCTAATTTAGTTGTGTGCATAGGTCGAACTATAAATAATATGGTATTTCTTTCAGGTTTTCAATCCATTGAAAGGAATTCATGTTTGTTGCAATATATTGTTTGTGGTAGACACTGGGAAAAAACCAACTATTGAATGTGTATTTATTTGTCTCCTGGTACAAAACTGATGGAAGAGCAGCCATGATGAAGCAGTAAAAAGGTATATAAAATTTATTTTATTTTACAAGAATATATACTGCACATTTGCTAATACCACTATCCCACATCAGTAAGTGACTACCCTACTATGTCACAGTAATAACCATTTGTTTCTTAATTAAGTCTTGGGTACCTAAGAAGTCACAGCATTTGTCTTAAATCGTCGTTTTACAAAGGTGATTAATAATTTAAAATTAATTGGGGACAGTCTAATCGTAAATATTATCTTAACATGCTAAATATTCTCCAACGATTAATGGCACCTAACTTCGTAGTATGATGCTGTCAGAGAAAAATGTATTTAAATCTTTAAAAAAAACAACAAAAAAACATTCTATTATTGAAAGGTGTGCTTTAAAGTTTGTTTTCAAACTTATTTTGTTCTCCATCCATTCATGTTTGGTGTTGTTAATAATTATTTAGCAAAAAGTTAAATTGCTTTAGCTTAAGTCCATTATTAACCCAGGCAATTACCATACTCTACTACACAACATTTAATTTAATATTTTGCATATCAAAAGTAATAAAACTGAATGAATATTTGTTTTAAGGTAAGTGCTACTCCCTATAGAGAAATCTCCAACTGTCCATGTTTGCAATATTATATTCCATAGTGAATATTTTTCAGTATTTGCATCATTATTGGTAATGCTTGCAGTACAGTATATCAATGTAGATTGGTCTGGGAAGAACAGTTGTTTCAACTATCTACATAGTATTCAAGTATTTACTATTTTAAAATTTAGCATACAAACTTTAAAAACAATATTTCAGTCTTCTTTGTTTCAAATATTTTTGTTTTGTTTTTATCTTTCACAAAGGTTCTTGGATACCTTGCTTCAATACCTCTGGTTGGACAAGAAAAGACCTGGCTAAGGATAGTAGAGGGTCAAATAATTTATCACCAAGAAAGTTACTGATTTAAACCGAATCCTTTAACGCGAAAGATTCTTAATTATGCTAAGTGTGCAATATTAGGTCAGTTAAGTTATTCCTCCATGGTTAAGACGACAGTAATGCATGATAGGTATATTTTGAAATCTACACATAGTAACTGTTTTTATAATTATTACAAAAACTCTGATTTAAACATGCCTGTATAGCTACGATACATAATATTTAATGTTTTTTGCAAGTTTCAATTAAAGAAAAATGGTCAAGTATATTTTAAACTCAGTGTATTTTGTAAGTTTAAAGGAATAAACATTGACATTGACTCAACATTAAAAATTTACATTGAATTAACATTGAACATATTACATTGAATCGACGTTGAAATTTACGTTGATGAAAACTTTCATTCACAACCAAAATTCAAAGTTGATTCAACATTGATCATTTGATGTTATTATAACATTAAATAATTGATGTTGAAACAACTTTAGACAATTTACGTTGAATCAACGTTGAGATTTACGTTGATGCAAACTTTCATATACAAACAACAAAAATTAAACGTAGATTCAATGTTTGCATATTACGTTGAATCAACGTTATTTCAACCAAGTTGTGCCCACTGGGTAATATTTAATCATTAGTTAACATTGACGCAAATAAAAGATACGATAAAATTTTACTGTCACATAAACAAAATTACACCCAAGTAGTTAAAAATCACCTCATTTTCACCCTATTTTGCCAGCTACCACCCATTCCCTTATCATTGAGTCCTCCCACTTCACATTCACGCCCCTCCCCATCCATTTATAGACTCCTAGATTTTGCCACTGCTGGCATGTATGGATTTTGGATTAGGACAATCGTTTAATCAGTGTAAGAAATAGTTTCAGACGTGGTGTATCAAAGGCTCTGCCAAAAATATTACCTGATTCAAATGCAGAGCACCAAAACCGTGTCTTAATAAATATGGTAGATTCCCGATGCCAGGTAAGCCAGCTAGAGGAATGCTTTTATAAGACTTCATATGCACAGGGTCATCTCCAAGCTTAGTTTGGCTGTTGCAGCTATATCCTCGGTGGATGGCGGAGCCGACATCGGTTTTTGTGAACAGTCTGTTCGCAAGGATTGCTGGCATAGATCTCAGTGATGGAGTGTGGTATAAGTTCGTACTCGTTGCTGCTGGGGTAGCTATGACACCACGCATAATGTTTCTGGAATACATTCTGACCATGGCATGGAGGAATTCTAACTGACTGGTTTGTACAAACCAAAATGAACCCACAGGCAGCAGTGAAGTGACATTATATGCACTTCCTGGTTCATGGTCACATCTAGACTTGCCACAAGTCTCTTTTACTTTTTTATTATTTTTCTCAATCTGGACAGCGCCACCAACGAAAATCGAGTATGGGACGCCAATTAAATTAGGTATGGCGCGCACTAAGTGCAATAAAGAGTGATTAACCTAAAATTAGGGCCTGGAACCCAGGCTAGGTCACATCATGACCCTGTTTAAAGATAATCTGTGTGACATCCGAAATAACAATAGGTAAATTAATCGGTGGCCTACGTACCGTGCGAACAGTCACTTCGGATAGACGGTATACGCATGGGCTGGGCAGATGCAGTGGCGTCACGCTCGGGCAGGGGAAGCAGCAGGGCCCCAGTCACGAGGTGTCCCGACATTGTAGTTTAAAAAAAATATAATAAACTATAATACCATAGTTTCATTCAATAGGGCCGGACAGTTTTAAATATTGAGGGTCGCGCCAGGAAGAATTTTCCCGAAGGGGAAGGGGAAGAGTTCCCCGACGAGGGGTCAGAGGGTCAGATTTCCCCGACGAAAGTAAAGTGGGCGTGGTCGAGATTCGATTAAAAGGTTTCGAAAGTGGTCCTGGGGGCGAAGTGAAAATGTAGGGGATTCAAAGGCTCAGTTAATCGATTTTATAGAGGCTACTAATATGTAGAAAATATATAGGCCTATATTTTTTTTTCCTCCCCGACGAATTGTGCTTTTTTCCTATAGGCGAGGGTCAGAGTCCTCCGCACCACACAGCTGTTGGCGCCGAAACTCGGGTGTTTCAAATCAAGCAATTCGTGTGTTATTTTATGTGAAATAAGGTGTATTTATTCCAAAATGGTAGAAAATATAGGCATATTGATGTTCTAAGATCTCTATATTTTCCATGAGCATTGTAACAGCTTTGAAACCTCTCCCCTTCCTATCCAACTCCCACCGTCGCTACTCTAAAAAAGATTATTCGCCTGAAATTTCACAACCACCTCAGCTCCACCTATATGGTTAGGGCTGAGTTGAGCAAATTTTTAAAGTAGACACTTCTAGATGTCCGAAAAATGGCACCATGCGACTGTAAAAAGAGTGTTCTCTAGGCCTACTCTTCTTTTTTTTTTTCCGACGGAGGGTCTAGGATTTCGTTTCTTCCAACTTCCGAAATGTGGTAGCCAGACAGGTAGGCCTAGTATTTTGTTATTTTTTTTTTTTTTTTGGTCTTCTTATTTTTCTCATGGGCCGAATTTTAATACCTGTTTGTTTTTGTCCCAATTGCTTTACATGGCTTTTAATAGTTTTATCTTTTTTTTTCTCTCTCTATCTCTCTTTTTTTTTAAAACTTTTACTGTCCCTGTGCTTTGTTTCCTCCACTTTACCCCTTTGTTCGTTTTCAATTTTTCAATTTGTATTTTTTTGTAATTTATTATATTTCGGCGAACGTCATAACGTTACCGTTTAGACCACAGATGCCCATACGATATCATTACGGAGACCACTAAAAGTCTCTTCCTTTCATACAAATTGAGGGCTCACACGTAGGAGTCTGGTAAATCATAACAAACAAATCAAATTGCTGCTTAGCACTGGGAACACAAATAATGTATATAAGTGTAATAAAGTACTCAAATATAAAGGAACATGATGTTATAAATCGTATCAAACATTTCATCAACGGAAGTTCTTCATCATAGTTTTAAGTCATCTAATGGTTTGACTTTAGGGTGTTATCGATAAAATAATAATAATAATAATAATAATAATAATAATAATAATAATAATAATAATAATAATAATAATAATATAATAATAATATAATAATAATAATTATTATTATTATACATAGGCCTAGACCTATATAATAATAATAATAATAATTATTATTGTTATTGTTATTATTATTATATCAAATTGCCGCGAACAGAAGCATACTCAAAATAAAGCAAAACAAAATAATAATAATAATAATTATTATTATTATTATTAATACATATAGGCCTAGGCCTATATATAATAATAATTATTATTATTATTATTGTTATTGTATATACATTTTCTTTTCTCTATGTTTATAGTACGAAAATTAAGATTGGCAAAAAAAAAACCGTTTTAATTAATTTAGGCCTATTAGCACGGATGTGAAATGCATATAGTGCAGTACAAAACACGCGTAGTGGATACATTCGAATGACATTGTGGTGTAAAATTAATAATACATTTACATAATTTATAGGAAACAAAATATATTGTTTTAAAAAGTAATGGGTGGTCTGGCCTAAAAGCCGGTGCGGCTCCGATGGCTGCGAATTCCTGTATTCTGAGTTGACCATGATTGTTTCCGGCTTTCGAGGTCTAACAAGTTTGATCTTGCTTTACACTTAGATTAATTCCTTTCTTGCAAATAATACTTAAAATATGGGCTGTCTTTTTGTATTGCTTCAAGGATATTTTACTGAGTTTATATACTGTTTTCAATTGTTGAATATTTAAACACACATTTGCGCATGCGTGTGTTATTGTTATTAACCGGAACTAGCACAATTAATGATCCGATCGATGGCTCCTGGACCTGGTTTATTTTGTTTTGTACAAAGAGAATGTATGTCAGAAACATTATCCGTGGTGTCGTAGCTACCCCAGTAGCAACGAGTACGAACTTCTACAATACTCCAGCACCGGGAGCTACGCCAGCAATGAACAAACTGCTCACAAAAACAAGGGAGTTGTTGAAAACCAATGTCGGCTCCACCGTCCACCGGGGATTTAGCAGCAGCAGCCAAACTGAGCTTGTTGGAGAAGACCGGGCGCCTATTAAGTCTTATAAAAGCATTCCTCGAGCTGGTTTACCAGGCATCGGGAATCTACCAGATATATTGAGGCACGGCTTTGGTGCAATGCATTTGAATCAGGTAGTAATATTTTTGGCAGAACCTTTTTTTACACCAATCTGGAGTATGATCATTTCGGCGTTGGACCCCGGCGTTGAATGCTGTTGCCGCATATAGATAGTAAACAGGGGCGGATCCAGCGGGGTAGGGGGTGAGGGAGTGGAGGGATGAGGGCCGTGCCCCCCCCCCCCCCCCCCCCCCCCCCCCCCGTCGGTCGAGACGAAAAATAAAAAGAGGGTGACAACTTTGAGTTAAAGAGAGGAAGATTTGAAAAAGTAGTGCACCCTTGAGTTCAGTGGCGATATGTCAGTGGGCGAAGAAGAGGTCGATTATTTACCACTTAGGCCAGGGAGTAATTGTTATAGGCCTGTCGGTGGAGTTGAGGTATTTGCTTCATATTGTATTGTGCCCCCCCCCCCGTCAGAAAACAGAAAATCTCTGGACCCGCCCCTGGTAAATTGAGATTCGAAATACTGTATCGACTTGCTGACTCGGAAATCAAACTCATGAATATTTATATTCTTATAGTCAGGGGTTGATTATAGGAGTTGTTTAATCCAGGAGGAATATCCTTACCAAGGCCAAAACGATTTGGGCCGAATAGATTGAGTACTAACTTGCGACCAAGATTCCACCCATCAGCAGGGGTGTGCGCCAGGATTGGCTCAACGTCCCCCCGACGAAAGAAAAGTAGGCGTGGTTAGGTGTCGCTCAAAATCTTGCGAGAGCATTCTTGGGGGCGAAATCCCAAAAATATATGACAGTTTAGAAGTCAAATGCTTGATCGATTTTAGAGTAATATATTTTTTTTCCTGCATAACGAAATTTTGGTAAGTCTCCCCGACAAAATTGTGGTTTTTCTTCCCAGATGGGTGGACAACCCTCCCTGGCAGGGGACCCAGTCCTCACACTGCCGCCACCCCTGCCTGTCTGAAAGCAGTTTTAATTGTGATTGGACAATATTGTCCTAATCCAATCCAAATCCATACATGCAAGGCATACAGTATCGAAGAGGGAGGGGTTGATGCTTAATTGAGGGGTGCTATTGGCAAAATATAGTAGAGCTCCGGCCTATATAGAGACTCTAAAATAGGGTGATATGAGGTCATTTTTAAGTACATGGGTGGGGTTAGATACACTCTTTATGAGTCAACTCGACCATACTGACTGGCCCTCCAATCGGCCATCTGCTAAAAACTCCACACATAATAAGGCAGTTTTTATTTAGCCAGTAGTACGCATATTCATTGATTCGATGATTAGTGAGGTAGGTAGATCTGATAGGGTAGGTTTACTAACTGACCTTCAATTAAATTTAAATTAAAAACACTATTTTTCGTTCGACGTCGATAAACACAATATTTGTATGAAAGCGTGTTCTTCAGATTTGGGCTAGGCAACTTCTTGATTGTGGCTTACTCAAAAAAATTGCTGAAACTCACAAATTGTCATTTATTTAATATTTATTGATGTGTTTTGGTGAATAGTCAACTATTAAGTCAACATTCTACAGTTTACCAAATCATGGGCAGCTAGACTGGCATAGACCTACACCACATTGAGTAAGTGAAGGTGAGCGATGGAGTGCAATTTGTTGGTCATTTCTGTACTGGGTGAAAGTATTTCAAACTGTCGACAGCCATGAAAAATACATTTTCTAATCTTAGATTTCTGATAGATTAAAATGTGCAGGAAATATGGCATGCTGTTTCGTGTCCAAGTTGGTCCCAGTGAAACACTACAGATATCTGATCCAGATCTGGTAAAGGAGATGATGCGTCAAGAAGACTGGAATCCTGTTCGTGTTGATATTGCACCGTGGAAAGCTTACCGAGATCTTAGAGGGGTTGACTACGGGTTGGTAACGCTGTAAGTAAAAACTTATTCTAATTGCCAACATGAAAAATACATTGTATTTTGATGGTGAAATGAGGCAACTGAATGCATAGATTAATGCAATTAATGATAATGATTTGCTGAAATGCTAGTATAATAATATGTAGCCCTGTAGCCAAAATATTTTTGGTGGATCACAACTTGACAGAAATCATTTTTTTATTCCTTTAAGGACATGACTAAGGATTACCAAAAGCGACTTAGTCACTGTTTTTATTAAAAAGGTGGAAATCACTTTACTACCTGGCAATGTAGGACTAATGTACATAAAAAAACTTGAAATTATTAAAATGCATGTTTCTTGGCATTATAATAATAGAAGGTATGAAAATCTATAACCACACCATGGTCACATGTACTGTTCATATCCAAATTAACTTTTCTTTTTTTTTTTTTTTTTCAATTAAAGTTGTGCAAATTAAGAATGAAAATATAAAGGTAGCATATCTCAGCAACATAATAACCAACCGTCTCACATCGTGCATGACTGTCCTGCATTTCAAAGTGATTTTGGTTGAAACATGCATTTTGCAGAAACACATGCGTGATCACAAGTTTGTCACGCATTTAGCACAGGTCTGTGCGTGATAACGAATTATCACAAATTCAGTCAAAAATGTATTTAAAATTAGAAGAAATTGGTTTTATTAAAAATGTAAAAACGGTCATGCATTAACTTGAGTCGTTAGTCAGTATTGATGTGAATACATAATTCACTGGCGCGTTACTAAATATTTATCAGTATACCTATTCATTTTTTGTTTCTTTATGTAATGAAATGTTTGTGTACATACATCGGATGCTCAAATTAGACATATGTACATTGAAACTCAAATTGTACGTGGCTTTATTAAAAATATTTTTGTTTATTTACAGTACCCGGTATTGTCAACAAACACTCCTTGAAATTGATTTAAAGTAGCTTAAAAAATGCTCAGATCGACAGAACGCCAGGGGTCCTTACCCCCTGGACCCCCACCGGGGCTCCGCCTCTAGACCCTGGAGGTGGCTCGGTGGCCCATGCCTTCCCCCCATTGGTATAGTTACACATTTTAAATCTCTCAGGTTGGTAACTATGCGGCAACCGCTGGTGGCAGAGAGTTGCTTCTTTTTTCACATTATTGGGAATGTATATGTTTCTATTTGCTCTAAATGAACGTTTGCCCTAAAAATGATTGGGAATAATACAACTGATCATTTGACATTTTATTCACTGAATTTGAATTTTTCTGTGACTATTGTCGTCAGTAGAAATGTGATTCATGGTCCCCAATTATAAAACATGCTTCTTTTCATAATATGAATAAAAGGGATGAAATTCCACAAATCACACCTCGTCACACGTCGGGAACATAAGCAAATTAGCTAGAATATGCAAAATTAGGTGTGAAATATAGGAAGTCCCGTATTTTGGCAACCACTGGTCGCCAAGAGTTTCTTTCTTTTTAAAATTATTCAGAACATGCATGTTTATATTGTTTAAATTGGAACCTTTGCCTCACAACCATACACATAATATAAACAAGCCTCATAACAAGGCTAATGGAGTGAAGTTTTTGGAGTGGAATCAGATAAGATTTGAATCCAGGACCCTGGGCCAAAAGGTGATCATTAATCTTAATTAAGCTATTTAACTCAACTCATCAAAAGTCACCTAGCTCAAGTCTGTCTCTATCAGTATTGGAGCATTAATATTCCTGAAAATGTGTTATTTTGTAATTATTTTTTTAGTTTAAACTTTTTAAAACATAGGATGTTATTAATAATTACTGTAATTAAAATTTAATGCATTATATTTAGGTTAAAAAACAACTATAGTAAAAAAAGGGCACGTAAAATACATTGAAATAAAACATGTGTTAATGTAATAATAATGCATAATGTAATGCAAACATGATTTAATGCAGTATAGGCCTAGCTATTCCCTACTTACATATGGCTGTATTAGTGTCAGTTGGTTGAAATTTCAAATCTAAATGTTTGCGGAACGCTGCCCTAGTGTACAATAATAGAGTGGTTGAACTTATGTTTTTTAACAAATCAGTTTCATTCTTTGTTTAGAGATCATGAACCATGGCAAAAAGCACGGAGTATCCTAAGCAAACCTTTGTTGCGACCAAAAGAAATTGTTCAGTACATGGACAAATTGAACGAAACAGGAGATGAACTCATTCAACGGTTGGTACGAGTGATGAAAGACACAGGAGAAGGGAACACTGTTCCAGACCTGGACAATGAACTTTACAAGTGGGCCTTAGAAGGTGTATGCATTATTTGTTTTATAACATGCAGTTGGTGTTTAGAAATATAAATTGTTAGTGTTATCCAGGTAGTTTGTCTGATTAACTGTGTGTCAACCAGAGAATATTGAAAACGATTATAGTATTTTCATTGCTTTGTCATTGATAATAATATTATTATTATTATTATTATTATTATTATTATTATAATTCATATTATTAATAAATTATCAAACCATATTTAGTTTCAGTCATAATATCAAAATATAGGTTCAATAAATAAAATTTACATATGATTTTTCACTCCCTTGGACTTCCATCATTAAGAATAACATAGGCTATTGACGTTGTTGTGTCACAGAGCGCCATGTTGTACATACTCAGCTTTAAATACACTGAATAGTCTTTGCCAATAATGCTATCAATCGTTTACCATCAGCTTTACATTTTTTACTTTTTTACTTTATTAAAAAATCCATATTTATAGAGGGTGACACTTGCAGCCTATCCCAAAAGGTCGGCTGATAATTAGGGGCCCTCTTGAAATAGATGAAATAATGTGATGCTTTTATCGGCGAAGTCTCTTTATGATGCTTACGGAGTGGAGTTGTTTTTTCATTCCTGATGATGACATAATTATTGTCGAAATATTGAATCCCAACACGATGGCGTGTATTTCAATACTTGGAGTATGTATTATACTTTCTGATAGTAATTTAGTTTACCAACTGTAAAAAAAAAAAATGTAAAACAATGATTGACCAAACCATATTATTTCCAAATGTCACTGTGTCTGGATAACATAGCAATCAATCAAGGAACCAGATTTTGTAAACAATTTCTTTTTATCATTTTCGACCAGCTGTGGCCATTGTTCTGTTTGACGTTCGTCTAGGATGTATGAAAGACTCCATCCCAGCTGAAGCGCAAGAGTTTATAGATGCAATTAATAAGATGTTCAGCACTCTCGCCCCACTGATGTTAATACCAATGCGTGTACACACATCGCTGAATACTAAAGTTTGGAGGAAGCACGTGGAAGCATGGGATACTATATGGAATACAGGTTAGGGATATTTATTCAATTTTTGTTTTTTTATTATGCTTCATCACTGCACAATGATAAAAATTTTAAATGGCAAACACAAAAGATAGAAAAAGCAGCGAAAAGGAAGGGATGAACAGGTCTGAAACACCACTATCTACATCCCCCCTTGAACAAATTAACCTCACAATCTCATTGAACAAAAAAAGAAATAGAAATAAGGAAAATTGAAGACGCAAGTAAACTACATAAAAG